GGGTTTTGTAACCTGGGGGAGAAGCCAAGGCACCGTCTAACTTCATCAGGTGATTCCCCGGGGATTGGTGGTCCTAGTGTTCCCTCTTCACTAAGCAATGTAAACGGAATGATTTTTAGTGATCTCAAGCAATTCCATGGCATGTCCTTTTCTCAGTGATGAAAAGTTGGAGAGGGAGAGAGAGAGAGAGAGAGAGAGAGAGAGTGGCACCTGGTTGGGATGGCTCGGGGTCTGAGAAACTCTGGCAGGGGATGGTAGGAAGATCCGTGCCTTATATAGCTTCATTTCAAAACACTTCCAGCTCTCCAGCTCTCATCTCAACCCTGTGAAGCAAGGTGGGGCTGAAAAAATGGACAGACCAGGTAATGAGATGAGGCAAAGGCTATAGCTAGCTAATGCACGCCAGAGCTAGGTCAGAGCCAGCCCCCCAAGAAGGGAGAGATATTTCTGGCTGTCTCAGCCTTCTGTAGGGAATTGGGGCAGGATCCCTGTGGCAAGATTCTTTCCTGGGGTCTATATTACTCTCAGGTCCTCACCAAGCTTTCTGATCTATCTCAGGGGCTGAAGGGCATTTTATTTGGTTTTAAAATATTCTCTTTATTTGAGATTTTATATGAAGGTGTACCACAAAGACAAAGCAACACCCAATTTAAAAAAATACATGGGATAGGTTAAAATTGAATAGCAAAACTTCAGTGGCAGAAAAATTAATTATGTGTTCATGTATACTTCCTTGAAAATCTTTAAAGAAATGAAACGATCAAAATATGAATCATAGACTTTTTTTTTTGAAATGGTAGGTACATTGTCCTATGCCCAATGGTATAAACAACCAGGTTTTGCCATGTAAATGGTAGGAATCTATCTCTGACTCCTACTTCTGACTGTGGAAGTCCCATCATCTGAAAGCATTTCTCACAAAATGTCACTAGGGCACTTAGCAGGTTCAGCTGTCTCACTCCAACATCCACCAGGGCCTTCTTTCTTTCTTTTCCTTCCTTCCTTCCTCTCTTCATTCCCTTTCTCCCTCCCATCCTTCTTTTCCTTTCCCTTTTTTCTTTTTCCCCTTCCTTCCTCCCTTTCTCTATCTCTCTGTCTGATTTCAAATTCAGAGAAAGCAAGTTGTTGCAAGCCCTCCTATCTGGATTAATGTAAAAGCACCCCCCCACCTCTTGACCTCTCAAGGTCTTTCTCATTGAATGTTTTATTCTTCCCCTTCTGGGTGACACCAATTTCTCACGTACCCCTTTCATAAGTGTTCCCCTCTTTAAATTACCCAGGACTTGATGTGGCAGGGTTGGGGTGTCCCGCTGTTAGGGAAACGGTCACTAACAGCTGCCTGTTAGACACTTGCACTAATGTCCACAGTGTCCTTGCTAGGTAGATATTCCTTTAACCTCACCCAGCAGATGAGGAAACAGACTCAAATGGGCCTTGCGCAACCTGCCTGAGAGCAGACAGCTAGCCAGTGGCAAAGCCAAGGTGGTCAGACTTCACGAGGCATACAGCTGCTCTGCATATGGCCCTGACTTTCCAGGAAGGAAGCAGATGGAAATGCCCAGGGACCATGGATTCCTCTGTGTCCACCTCTACTGCATCAGCTCTCTGAGAGGTACAGGGTCACTCTTAACCTCCTGAGCAAGACCCCTGAGGCTGTCTCAGGCAGTAGCTGCTCTGCTCAAGAGCTTCCCCTCATCACAACTGGGAATCCTGTGACCTGAGAAGAGCCCCCTTCTGCCAGACAGGATTGGAAAAGGACCTTTAGGCTATAGTACTGAGCTGGGATACAGGTCACTATTGCTTGGTGCGTACAGACTGATAGCAGCTGAAGCTACTGTGTGGCTTTACTGTTATGGCCATGTGTTACCAGTGCTGACTTCCCTGGAGTCTTCCCAAATGACTATCCGAGGAGCAGCTGTTTACCTTTCTAAGGTGGGCCAGGCAGAGTGACCATACGTCAGTGGAAACAAACCCAATTTCAAATCATTCTAGGCCAAGTGCCTACTTTGGGAAGCCCTCCTTGGGTGGTCTTCCAGGCCTCTGGCTCCTGACTTTCATTAAGGTTGTCACTTACAGAGGTACAGAGGTCGGCTTCTGCCTGTTGGTCTGGGTGAGTGATGGGAGAACCTCCTTCATAGTCTCTCCAGCTGTGCAGGGACAAATCTGGAACCAGGCAGGAGTGCTGGGAGTGACAAGAGCTCAGCAGCTGAGTCCCACATTGGTGGCAGAATGCCCAGGCCCAGGCTCCCTGGCCTGCTTTCCAAGCTGTGCATTTCCACTTTCCCTGCTGTCTGCCTCCTCTGCAGGGGAAATGCCCCCACCCGGCTTTTTACTGGCTCTTTCTTCTGTCCTTCCTCTCTCCTGACCAAACAATCCTTTTGCCCTTTCTACATTCAGCTTGCAGGAAATCCTTGTAGCCTCAGGAGTGAAGTAGAGGGGGCATTTTGCTTGTAAAGCCCTTCAGCAGCATGCTTGCCTGCGGCCCCCACACAATGCCTGCCTCTTCCTTTGTCTTCTTCCTCCCAAAAAGTACTTTGACATCTAAGCTCTGGTTCATTCCAAATTAGGCAAAGGTCAAAAGACTCAAGGAAACAGTGACATGACTATGTTACTATTGGCAACAACTTGATGCTACTTTTCTCCAACCAGGAAGTTCAAGTAACCTTGACTATGACTATAGGGGAGTATGCAGCTAAAATTTAGGAGTTTGATTTTGTAGATAAGGTAGCCAAAGGAAATCCCTAGCTTGGAAGCATGGAATTTTCCTTGGAACTATGAGAACTCTAACTCCATCCTCTGAAGGATACTTCTTAGTTCCTGCAAACAAGTACTTGTTTAAGCTACCTGCTAAGATACAGCCTAGAAGGCACAGGCGGTCAACTTACTGACCCCTTCCTACCAAAGGCATGAACTTCAGTGAGTATCCATGTCTATTTGGATGCTTATGCAAAGCAGGGCAGCTCATTTCCCTTTCCTCCCTACTACCATGAATGCTGTCAGCAGTCATTTATCAGATGTGTATTCATAATTGGAAAAAATACAGCCAGAAATAGGTTAAGCAGCATTTTCAAGAGGTGCTGGAAAAAGATGGGTTGTTGGAATTCCTAGTCAAGGAGAACCTTCTTACTTCCCTCTTTCCTACAGACACTTTTCACATGTTGCTGATATGTTTTTGGTTTCTGTAGGGCAGTAGATGGGCTGTTTCCTAGCTTCCTTCTCTCCTGGTAGTCTACTATGTAAAATGTGAGACTTCTATATTTTCTGCAGGACTTGGCTCTGGGCCCACACAGTCAGGGTTATGGAAGCCTTAGCTGGGAGATGAAGCCGACTTCCACTATTAGATTTTAAAATATCTCCAAAGGAAGTGGGCATTTCTGCCTTCTGCTATGGCATGGCCACCTGGAGAAGTGAGCTACAAGATCAGTACCCAAGGATGTTGTTTGTGCACTGCCTCTAGGACAAGGGACTCATCTCAGCATCATTTCTGGGGCCCCTGGGCTCCTTGTTTCTTAGGAAGGAAGAACTGCATTCAAAAACTGGAGAGAAAAAAAGGGAATGCTGATAAATGTTTGCCCCCGACTGTCCATGAAACTTGGATATAAGAACAAGAGGAGTGGGGAAAGTGGAGGCCACAGGCAGATCACCTCTGCTGGATTTTGGAGCAGAAGGATTCCCCAAGGTTAGAGAGTGTGTGGACGCCGGGATCACTCACCCACTGCTGGAAGGAAGCCACCTCGGGGGTGAAATGCAGCGGCCATTCTGACTCTGCGCCAGCAGCACTAGGCAATTGTGTTTTGGGGAAGGGAAGTGAAGAATAACTTATCCAGCTGAAACTGTGAAGACCTGTGGCTCTAGAGGAGCCCCTGCCCCCGCCCCCAGCCACAGCAGACAAGTAGTCCATGCACAGGAGCACATGCAGGTCTGCAGTGTATGGTTACACACCCGCCATGCACAGAACACTGAGGCATGGATCAAGCAGGCAGCGCAGGAACCTGTGTATACACCTGTGCACACACTTGTGTGCACATTAACATTACAGGCACTCCTATAAGCATCACATGCAAGGCACATAAGCAGCCACCTCATTAGTTATAAAGTTTTATATCCACTCCTACAGTGCCAATCTTTGACAATTACTGCAAACTTAAAGCGTTTGCCTTAAAATACATATATAAAAGCAGAATTTTACCCAGGAAAAAGCCACTCATGTCAATGGAAATGGTCTGTCTGCTTCTGTTTCTATCAGTGCTAGAAGCAGTAGGAGCACACACCCCAGGGGTCGGTTTATCAGGAGATTTCAGAGCATCTCCTGCCACTTGCTTCTGACTCCTCCAGAAACCTCACTGTGTAGTAAGTGGTTAAAAAAATAGAAACCTGTTTATCTGGTAATGAAACAACTGAACATGGCAAGGCTGTAGTACTCAGGGAGGCTCTAAGCAGGCAAGCAACTGAGAGGTGAGTGTCCTGGGAATGGGGCTATCATGCAAGGGGCTAGAGCTGGGGGACTGGATTTCATATTCTTATTATGGGTAGAGCCATTACCAGTCTGCGCCTGGAAGCAAAAGGCATCTTAGGATCTTGCATCTCAGTAGAGGCCAAATACCAGGTCTTAGAAATATTGCAGTGGTTTACCTGTGGCTCTTTCTACCTTCCAGGCTGACAAGATCTATAGCTGCTTGGGCTTCCTGGGAAGTGCTAAAGGAACATGGGAAATTACCACAGGGCAGAAGCTGGCCTGCAGGGCACCACAGTGTCTCCATCCCCCAGGAAAGCAGAGTAACCAGCTCTTGGAGTTGATTTTGGAATGAGACAGTAGTAATAGCTACCATTAATTGAGTAGTTACCACGCTAGTCATTATAATAAATGCACTTTGCACATACTGTCATACAAGATATACTCTTATTCACCCTCACCTGCAAAAACAGATGCAATGATACCTATCTCAAATAATATTTCTGGCAATGAAATAAGATAATAAGTGGAGAGCTATATAGGGGTTGCAAGTAACATTACAATGATGAAAATAATACTTAGAGCTATACTTAATACATACACTGCAAAGAGTGTGTTGAGGACTTTAGGTATTTGCCTTATTTATTTATTTATTCACTTGTCCCTTTTGTGGACAAGGAAACTGAACTGCTCATGTCATGCATCTAAGCGGTAGAGCTGGAGAAGAATCGAAGCCTGTCTCAGGCCACGCCCAGCATGACACAGTGTAATACCACGAACTTGTGGGAAATCGCAGGTATGACTGTCATGACCTTGTTTAGTAAAACGTCTGCCTGGTACATTAGGTTTTTTTAAAAATCTCCATTGGACATGCAAGTGACTTGCCCAGAGTCTCACACTCATATCATGTAGAAAAATAGGGATCCCACGGGGGCAGCCTGTGTCCACTTCTCTGCATTTCTGTGGGTACTGAAGGAATATTGTTCTCAGGGGACAAAGCAAGCAGGTCATCTTCAGTAATGTATGTGAATGTAGCTGGGGGAAACAGCACCACCAGATTTTTGACTTTTGACTCTGGTGGTGCTGTAGCGCAGTTATAACTCAGGCTCTTTCTCCTGAATGACACAAGTGGCAGATAACCAGCTACCACCTTGCGAAGGAGCAGTCTGGATGGCACCAGTCACGAGGGGCAATCAGGGAACTCTCAAAAAAGTACTCCTGCTGGAGCAAGATGCACCTCACTGTGCAGGTACCTCTGTAGTTCCCGAGGAGCATGGAGACCAAGGGACCCCTAACCCCAAGCCCGGATAAAGCTGTTGAGTGCAGGTTGGGGGCTCTGGTGGCCACCACCCAATCCACATTCTTTCTTGGTGGTCCTTCTCAAGATGTTCTACAGACCTAGGGATTATTTAAGCAAGCCATGATTGAGGGTTAGGAAATAGTGGGGTGTGAAGGCATATCATTACCACAAGACCTCCATCAAGTATAGGGCCACCGGATCATGATCACCACAGATGCTAACGCTCGAATTCTTCACGTATTTAGAAATACGGATGTCCCGGAGCCTCCCAGTATCATCCAGAACAGAATTGTCCTATTACTTTTGCTGTAGATTGTAAAGTTGGGTCAAGTTTTGTGCTAGATGCTTCATCTCCATTTCCTAACTTGATCTGCTATGATACCAAAGTCAGGCTTTCTGTCTTTGCTTGACAGTCCCTCTGTTCCTATTAGGCACGGAGGCACAATGCACCATGGTCTGATGCAAGAGAGAAAGGCCAAGGCACAGCGTAGAATGATTCTCTAGCCCGGAGGATAAGTACAGGTGCCCCCCAAGATGTGGATGTCTCCCCTCCCCCTTCCCTTACATCCAGGCATCATCCTCACCTCACAGAGTTTTAAATGACCGTCTGAGACAACACGGTACCCGTCAACTCTGATCAGACTTTCTTTGGCTTTAAACACGTCTTATTAAAACTTTGCTGACTTTTCTAGGATTGCCATGCTTAATAAGAGGCCTCAATGAATTTGAAAGCAAAAGATGAAAAGAGGGAAAAAGCCCTATGATGTAATCACCATAATTATACAATCCCACAATGAGGTGAAAGCAGCCCTGGTGAAGGCTGAATGAGGAGGGAGTGTCATCTGCAGTGGGGTTGGTTCTTAGGAGCACTGAGAAGAGTGTGACATGAAAACCCTTCTTTCCTTTGCTGAGCTGGTTGAAGAGGAGTCCTCAGGGTAGGGCCAGGTGATGGGAGAGAAGGGAGGACAGTTATTCTTGGCTCCCAGGCCTCCAGGAGCATCCTCTGCACCTGGTCGGCGGAACTAATTCTGATGTCAGCTTGTTCTCCTGGGTTCTAGTGGCAATCAGTAAATGGCAAATAGTTTTACCATCTTTTCTCTTATCCAAAAAGCACCACTTGGAACTATGATAGGGCCAGGGCACCTACAGATGTGGCTGCCCTTGGCTATGCTCAGCCTTTCTGTGCCAAGGGGTGCTTATGTCCTCTGATCAGTGACCTCCTTTCAAGCATCTGGGGGACAGAACAGTGTTGCCCAGGGCTCAGCTGCAGTGGCAGCAAATGACACAGAATGTGTTTGTGTGTGTGTGTGTGTGTGTGTGTGTGTGTGTGTGTGTGAGAGAGAGAGAGAGAGAGAGAGAGGGAGGGAGGGAGGGAGAGTGCATGCTGACATATGAAGAAGGACAGCCATTCCACTTTGTGACAGTTTCCCTCACTTCCAGTGTGTCATCTGGCTTTTGCTCCCTCAAGGCAGAGTCTAACTGGAATCTTTTGAATTTCTCCAATTAGCAAACTCCCTCCATGTAATCCATTTTCCTCATCCACAACTTGATTATAAAGCACTGAATGAACTGCGGTAAGGCTCATTTAACAAATATTTAATGCAGCACAGAGTTCCAGTGGGAAGAGGTTATGGAATCCACCACAGAAATACTCTCTACAACATCCTGAACTATTCAGATCCTACATGTTTCACTCAGCTTCTAACTGTCAAAAGCCAAGGAGCACACTGCTCCTTGAAGTGACACATTCCCTTGGTGAATAGTGGCGACTGTTAAAATATTCTTCAGTGGAGTGACCCTCCCCCCGACTTTTTCTACCCCTTCGGTCTAGCTTTGCCCTTCAGAGCAGCCCCGTGGAGTCCACTCACTCCAGAAGACAAACACAATCAGGTCTCATGCTGTTGGCTGGGAGGCTGGACATGGCTCCCATAGTCCCTTTCTCAGCCCAGTTCTCCTCTTCTGGACTTTCTCTAGCCTACTAAAACCCTGCAAAAGAGGTGGGGCTTGAACCCAAGAGTCCGTGTAGCATAGGGCAACCCAGAGCAGTGAAGCGTTTATCTCTGTGACTATTTCCACTTTTACTCTCATAGCCTAATGTTGCCTTAAAAAAAAAAGTGGTCGCACTTGTGCTTATATTAATCTTACAATCAACTATAACACTCCATTTATTTAACCTCAGTTACAATGGAGACGACAAGTAACATCTATAGTTGTGAAACTGGATTATTTTTAAACATAAATTTTACCTGGTTACATTTGATCTAGATGTTTTTGACCTATCGTTCCAGCTGACTTTTCAAATGCACTTCTGTTATCTACCAGTGAGTAATGTCTTCCAGGTATAGATTTTAGAACAGGGTTGGTGGGTTTGTGTCTTCATCCAAGTCATCAAAAAGGCACGTTGGCTAGGTCGTGCCCATGGGTGTGAGTCTGCGGCCCATTATCAGACATTGCCTTTCTCGTTGACATAGATTGACTAATCCACCTTCTCCCCAGCCATTGTGCGCTGTGAAAATACTTGCTTCATCTACATATGGAAAACACAGAGGGCAGTGAACACGGGCAGGGGCAGGGAAGACAGGGCAGGAGTAGACATATTCTTTTCAGTCTTACTGTGCTAATTACAGGGCACAAAAAGTATTTTCTGGAGCAGGGGATATAGTTATTAGGCCTACCCTTCTCTAGCAAGCCAGGTAAGGAGAGTTCCTGCCAAATTTACACTAACAAGGTTCGTTCCTATTTGGGACCATGGTGCTGTTGCTTAGGCTAAAGGGCTTGACTCATTGGGAGTGTGGAAGGACCACTGCTATTCGGGCCTTGCTATTGCACAAGTGCTACACACTCCTAACCCTGCTCCACCACCCTATCCATTAGAGAGCCAAGGAAAACCTCCAAGGACTTTCTCCTGTTGGCCATCTGGCAAATGTCACAAAACTGAAAATCCCCTTACCCTCAGCTCTTCTTGGCTCCCTTTAGCGTTCCATTTAGCCGTTCTATTTCAGAGCAACATCTTGCAGAGTTTCCACATTTGTACACGTATCCCACCCTCCTTCTAGAACACTATACTTTCCTAACTTGACTCGAGCCGGGAGACTCACTAACTGTTTTATAAAGGGAAGCATCCTGAGCTGTTTGTACGGGGAGCTCATTTTGGGGGAAATTCCATAGAGGTCTTACTTCCTTGCCTTCTGGCCCTTTGACCAAGTTCTCTTTCAACTCTCCGGGTGGGACAACAAGCAGAAGGGGCTCCCTTCTCCTTGACTTTGAAATAAACAGTGTTGTCCCCTTGCTAGGACCTGCTGTTGCAAAGCCTGGCAGTGCCTGGATAGGTATCTCTTTCAGGTGTGCCTCCTCCCCCGGCAGGACTGAGGCAGACTCGTCCTCTGCAGAGGTAGTGTCCTGTCTCCTGAGTGGCTCACCCTGCACAGATCACTGCATTCACCTTCACCCTGTCTCTTCTCACTGGACAGATGGGAGCCCACACCATTCCCTTGTGACTGCATGGGGACAGGTGCCATTGTCTGCACAAGTGACAAGAAGCAGCTTGCAATCCCACAACCCCATCAACCACGTCTGAAGTGACAGCTCCTTCTAGAAGGATTCTTGCCTGAGTGGGGGTGGGTGGAGGCTACAAGATGCCAAAGGGCCGCAGGTCACCTCCCAAAATAGATCCCTGCCTGGCACATACACACACACAGTTTGCCCCCAGCCTGCCTCGCCGGGAGACTGGCAGGGTACGCGTTTGGATCTGAATCAGTGGCTGTAAACACACAGCTGTGCCTTTCTGCCTCAGAGGAGCTTGATTTTCACTTGACTGCTTGGCACACTGGGGTCTGGAGAAGGCTGGAGAGGGCCCTGGTGGGCGGGCTGGCAAGGGGCTTGGTCAGGGAGCAGCTGCCCTTAGAGCCGCTCATCCTGCATCTGCAAGCCGCACTGGCATGAGCTTTTCTCTGAGTGGCACTCAGGGGGAAGAGCAGTTTGGGTTGCTTTCTGCTGACAGGTCGAACAATCAGCTGAAACATCTAGGGGTTCCTCCTTCCAAGAGAAATGACAACCAAACTCTGACCTTTTGGATAACTAAAAACCTCAACCCCTTCCGTGCCCTGCCACAAAGAATCACTGTCTCATGGAGCCTGCCCTGCATTCCACCAGCCATGCTGATTCTGTTGTTTTATATTTTGTTTATGAAAAATTGACTTTTATGTTTTCATTTTCCAGCTACAAAATCATAATAGTAAATATGCTTTTCCAAACTGCACACAGAGCCAGGCTTGAGATAGAAGGATAGTGACCAGAGGAGACTCAGCCTACCACTGAGCATGACCAGGACAGTCCTGTCTCACATACCTCTTCCCCCCTCTCTAAGAGAGGACAGGACCTTCTGGCCCAGGGAAAGGGAGAGATCAGGTGAGCAGCAGCAATGCTGCGCACCACCCCCACTCTGGGGGCTCCCAAGACCCCACAATGTGTAGTGCTGACCTTGATAGGTCCCCTCCTGACACAGCTGCACATCCCAGCCAGAAGGGTGGGGACTGCAGAACTGGCCAGGCTGAAAGGGTGGTGTCACTCACCCTGTTCTCCGTGAGTCCTTTCCACCCTCCAGCTGCTTACAAGATCTGAGTCCAGGACAACTGAGTGGAGCCTTTCCTGTGCAGAGGGAACCTGGGCCCTTAGCTCTCCTGCTAGTGTTTGTCTGGGGTCTGTGGATACTCCCAGCTCCACTCCATTCATAGTTAACCTCTCAGCCTTGACGGCCAGCAGACACTTCTGAATCAGACAGCTAACTGGGCAGGAAGGCATCTCCTCTCTAACTGTGAGTAAGGATTCCTACGACTCCAAAGTCTCAGGGTAGAAAGAAGCACATACCCACTAAACACTTGCAGCTGGAAGGGATGACAAAGAAGATCTAGTCGAACCCATCATACAGAGGAAAAAAGTAGGTTTCAGAGAGACCTAGTGATTTGCCTGCAGTCACACAGCTGAGGCTGGAAGCAGAAGCCACTCGCATGGGGCTTGCTGAGACAGTTCAGAGTCCCAGGGGATATCCTTGCCGCTCAAGAGAGGGAGACCATCTTCCAAAATATTACTGTGGAAGGACACCTTCACTCCTACCCAGGGCCAGAGGTTCACCATAGCTGGATAGATGGGAGAGGCTGGAATTAGTGGTCCCAAAGGGACTGTTTGCCATAAAAACCAACCCTGTGTAAAAATAGTTAGCCAACTATCCCTTGCTGGAGGCTTGAAAAGACTTATTCAATGGAGGTCAAAACACTGTGGGGCTCTGCTGAGCCCAGAGTATTTGAAGGTTCATTCCATTAGGGTTTGTTGGCTGTTCCACACAAAATGCTGAAGAGCAGGAGGAAGAGAAGGAGGAGGGGGAGGAGGAGGGGGAGGAGACAACCCCCAGGGAAGGAAATGCTGCTTCCCCATTGATTACCCTCTCTTCCTGCCCAGGAGCCTCAGCTTTCCACTTCCGGTCAGCATAGGCCTGGAGCTGGGGGTTTCCTCCTGCAGAGCTGCATCGGAGGAGCAGGAGCCGTGGCAGCTGGGGGAAGCTGTTGACCTGCTCAGTAGTTTCTGCCTGGGAGGGAGGAGGGAGAAAGGGGAGTGACAGCTGGCTCCCAGAGTCTCCCGTCTCCATCTGACTTTCCTGCTGCATTCCTTGGCAGGCAGGACAGGAAAGCCTGTGGTAGAGATGCCCCTGGTCACATGCTAAGGCTCCCTCGGTGCTGGCCCTTGCTGCTATTGGCAAAGCAGAACCTCCATGTTATCTGTGGCCCCTGGTACTTGCTCAGGTGGAACCAAATCCATTTCTCATCTTTGGGACCCAATGCTGGAGCTGGCAAAGATTTCAAGGGTGAAGTTGGGGCTTTAACTGAGTATCCAGGCAGAGGTGTGCAGGAAGCAGCTGCCAGTGTCACCTGGGGCCCTATCTCTCCCGATTTAAGATCTGGTACTGTGCACAGGGGGCAGGGGACTTTAGCTTCTCCCAAATGAGGACCCTCACCAGACAGCTTCAGCCACCATCTGAAAAGCAAAATCACATTTCTGCAACTGTGGTCTGGCCAGGGGCCCTTTTGCCTCCTCTCTCTCCTTCCCTTTTATCAGAGTCAGGCCATGGTCAACTCCAGGGAATCTGAAGGAACGAGCCCATCTAAGAGAGACCAGAGGTGGTGAGCTTTTCAGTTCTGGCCACCCTGTGCCTCCTTTGTCATCTGTCCACCATAAAACCAGGAAGATGGCAGAGACTGGCGGACTGGTTGGCACTGAGCAGCAGGAAGCCTCTTCCTCTTTCTGGTTAGTGATGCCCAGGGCCTCCCACCAAAGAACCAAAGATGATGGAAGATGACGCAAAGGCAAACCATAGTAACTAGCCAGGTGCATCCTGCTGTGGCTTTCATATTTTACAGCCACTGGCTATGAAAGGAAGCTTCCGGGTAAGCAAGATTAAGGAGAGAATGGTTCTTGCTCATGATGGGATCCAGTGTGACCTGCATACGGCCATCTTGGCGTACCCACTATCTTGCATGCTAGGTGACCCTGGCACATATTCCAAACCCTGTAGGACAAACAAAAGCTGTTAAAATAGCCAAGTATTTCATGCTGGCCACTGACTGCTTCTTAACTGACACTTGACATGTTAATAGTTTTTGAGAAAGACCAGGCGTGTTCGGGTTGGCCATGGGCCATCTTTGTCTAGCTTAGCAAATAACCCATTTCTGCTGCCTTGGGGTATAGGATCTTCCCATCTTGCTATCATCCACTGTCATAAGTTCCTAATGAACTACACTCTATTCAACCCTAGATTTGTCTGCCTCTTTCTTCAGTCTCTTGGTACTTTCCACTTTTGATGTCTGATTCTTGTACACCTGATTTTTACAAAACAGGTTCTTTTGGCCACAGGGCCCATCTGAGGTCCTCTTGAGAAGTTTCCATGTGTTAACAACACTTTCTGAAACCAGGGCTCCTTGGAAAAGGAAAACCATGCACGGTGGTGTGGGGTTATTTCTGCACACAGGCAGATGACAGTCAAGGAGGGGCTGAAATCCCATCTGTGTTTGGCTTGGCCAGATGGGGATCGAAGGATGTGGAGTCTCCAGAGGGAGTCCCTTTTGCTGTTTTGAATAAAAGTGCATTATAGGGCCGGGGATTTAGCTCAGCGGTTCGGTGGCCTGCCTTGCAAGCTCAAGGACCCGAGTTCAATCCCCGGTACAAAAAAAAAAAAAATGTGCATTATAGACTGGTTGGAACTTGCCATGGACTTTCAGTTGTGTCTGGCTTTGACCCTAGGCTTTCCCCATCAAATAAGCAGGGTTTCAGGAAGGTTCTCTGATTCTACTCTTCACAATACTTGCTTAGTACAGATCCCCATATATTGGCTTGGTACACTTAAATTCTAGGTGGCCTAGAATGAACCTTCTACTAGAAGCACTGACTCTACTAGGGAGGGCCAGACCCCTCCTGAATTCAAGGTAGCACAGTTCTGGAAGTTTCCATGAGACACTTATGTTGCTCCTTAGGATCTCATGTAACAGGGACACACAAGGGTTTAACCAGAAAATCTTTCCATGTCAGGACATACCTTGAGACTTAGAAGGAAAAATTTGGCTCTCTCCTTATTTTCTTCCTTTTCCAAGAAAGGAAGGGGCATTGATAGGTTCTGAGGGAGAAATTCTGGATTCAGATTCAGTTTGGACAAGATGCTAGATAACTGAGCTATCCAGCCACTTGAACCACTGGTTAGTCCTAAATGGCAGTCGGCCTCACGTCCTTGGTCTATGAGCAGTCTGCCTTCACTTTCCCATTTTTCCATTACTAGCTCCGTGATTTGGGTGATCTTACATATCTCTTCCAACAACTTGGGAATGCTGTTAATCCAGACATTAGCCATCCCTTCCCACACTAAGGATACAGGGGGTTAAATCCTGGGTCTTTACACTGAGCTGCAACCCCAGCCCTTTAAACATTTTTGAAAATATTGTTTCTGAGCCAGGGTCTTGCTAAGTAAATATGTTGCCCAGGCTGGGCTTGAATTCACAAACTTCCTGCCTCAGCCTCTTGGAGTGCTGGGATTACAGGCATGTGCCACAGTGCCTGGTTGACCTTTGTTGTTGTTTTTTGAGACAGGGCCTCTCTATGTAGCCCAAGCTGGTCTTGAGCTCATGGTGATCCTCCTGCTTCTGCCTCCCAAGTGTTGGGATTACAGGTGTCTTCCACAACACCTGGGCTGACCTTTGTTTAGTTTGATAGTTTGCAGTATGTGGTAGAAGAAACACTTGTGTAAATCTTTTACACTATATAGTTATATAATATTTGAAAATAAATATCAAATTGCAAAGCATATTGGTTAGTTGGTTATATTTGATTAGAACACTGGGCTGTTGACACCAAATTCTTGGGTTCCAATCTTTAATAGTCCGAGAGCTGACACTGTTTTATAGCCATGGGCCATATCCCCAAACTTAGCCACACTCACAGGGTTGTAGTGTTACCCCAATCGCAAAAGGGCATGCATGGATCTAAAAAGTCTGCATGTACCACCCATTACAGTCTCCTGTTTATTAAAAAAGCATCAGGGAATTTAGCAAGGTAATTCTTAAAGTTTGGGTCTTCTATATATAAATGCCCAGAGTCTCAGGAGTTTGGGATATTTTTCTCCTTCAGCCCACTCTGACAGCATCCCTCTGAATTCTCCCCTGTGTGCACTTGAGATAGTTGGAGTCAGGCTGGTGCTTTCTTGTTCTGTTTTGTTAACAGACCTTGAAGAAGTACTGAGGCAACACCACTTTTGGGATAAAGGACATCAATAAATGTTCCTCACAGAGCTTCATCACTCTTGCCTTTCCTGATACCCACTTTTCATGAAAAGCAGACTGAAGATGCTGATCCTAGTACTAGATTTCTTCTTTCACATTCTCTCCTCACACAGTGAACCAGAGGAGCCTGACAGGGCTGTCAGAATTCTGCTTTCCTATACAGAAAAGCTCTGCTTTTCTTTGCAGGTTATACCTGAGAGGCTAAGGGGCTCTCACAATGCACTCTCAGCTCGTCTAAATCCCTAAATATCCTCCATCCTCAGTAGACAGACAGGCACTCTACCGTTCTCTATGGAGTCATCGTAGGATAGGGAAAGTTCCATAGTCCCGCCTCTGTAATCTGTGGCACTATCTCATCCTGGGATGCCACCTACACGGCCTTGGTAAACCAGCCATGTGACAAAAACCCTGAAGGCTTTGTTTTTTGCGTGTTCTCACTTCTCATGAGGAAGGGCCACAGAGAGGAGACCCCAGAAGAAATGAGCACCCATATTTTAATTGCTGTCTACTGGAGTTCTTGTGATTTCCGCAGCTAATAAATGCAAAGGAATGTTTAAATGCAGTTAAAATACATCTAGCTATATGATAGGCAAATGAGTAGGCTGCTTTCAACCTAAGATTCTTAGAATTATGTTAAAAGGATAAAAATCACATAGTAGCCATGTTTTACAAGGCTTTTCCTCCGCAATAGAGGTGGGAAAATATGGCAGATTGGTACTGTTTGGGAAAAGAAACATGACCACTTCTCTGGGCAAGACCTCTGTTCTCTGGCTGCCATCTTGGTTCCTTCTGGTTGGATGTTAACAGTGCAGACAGGGCCCTATGAACTCAGTGGCTTGTTTTTTATGAGTCAGTGAATGAGCAGGGTGGAGTATTTCCTGCATACCAAAACCTATGCTTAAATTTCATAGAGACTGACATGGAGACAGGAGATAGGTCTAGACTGTTCTATACACTACTATGATATAGAATCTCCACTGAGCATGTCAGGGAAGACTGTGTTAAATGCTGTCTCCTTTTCCCATGGGCTTTCTCCTGTGTTACTCTTTGGGCCTCTTCCTCTCCTTGCTGAGTGTGCATGGGGGGCAGGCTACTTTCTTATTAGAGCAGTGAACCTGTAGCCTGTTTCTACTTATTGTCAGAATCAGGGACTGGGGAGCTTGAGCAGTCCTTCCCCCTGGGGGGTGTGAGGACAGTGGCAGGACTTGGCTAATGACCTCTTCTCCCAGTCACAGTGTGCAAAAAGGGATAGTAGGGGGTTGTGAGGGATGTAGGAACTCATGCAGAGGTCACTAACACTCACGCCAGCTAGACCACATCGCCAGAACCCATGCAGCACAGCCACTTTCTGCACACAGCCAAAGCTACCCACATAGCGACACCAGCTCGTGCCCTGCACTAGTGTGACTGTTGGAGTTCACAGAGGAAATTTGGCTTTCATTTTGTGTGTGAGATGAGCGATAGTTCTGAGCCATGATGTCTCATGGTACGTTGGATGGCCTCCTCCTGGGCTACTGCAGAAGATGCACAAACCGCACAGCCCCACGAGCAGTGGGGTCCTTCTTCTCAAAGACCTGAATGGGGTGCACCTGAGGCTGGGCGGTCCACTGTGCACCTTCTGCAGAGGGGGCCACTTGCTCTTTTGCAAATCCATCCCTAGAGGAGAAGCTGCAGACGCTCGCAAAAGAAAAGGGGTGAGTTGAGGAGGAAAGCACTGGAACCGCTCCCACCCCGCAAAAGACGACAACCAAAAAGACAAGAAAAGTTGAAAAACCAAAACCAAAACCAAAAGAAATGATGAGGGAAGAAAACCAACTGAACTTACCACACTGCGAGTGAACTTTTCTAGGGAAGTTCTACGACCTTGCTCACTTTCTGGCTTTAGGGGGAACAAAAAAGGTAGGGAGAAAAATACAGAAAAAAAAAGTCTTCAGCTTACACATGGTTTCCAAACAGCAGCAGCCGCAGCTAGAGAACAAAACACAAAAGCCAAATGGGGCAAAAAATGGAAAAAGAGAAGCAGCTAGAGCTGTTGGCAGAGTCAATGGGAGAGACAGAAAACAAAAGCCCAGGAGCAATGGCGCTGCCTCCTTGGAGCAGTGGGGAGAGAGGAGTTTGCTTCTTGAGGGGCCATGAATGGTGCCATGGGGCTTTACAGGGCACTGCAAGCACTAGCTTCCAGCTGTTTGCTCAGTGTTCTCACCTGTTTGCTCCTGTGCAGAGTGCTGGGTGGTTGCTGGCACGAGGCGCCAAGGCAGCCACATGGGGTTTAGGGCTGCGGGGGATAGGATGTCCAGAGAGGCACACCCTCTACCCCAGGTGAAGCCATGATCTCATCCTCACATCTAGGCCAGGATCTTTTTTGTCTCTTGAGATTTTCCTGCCCAGAGAAAAGTTTGCCACCTTAAGTGACTCCTAAACACCCCTGTTCTGCTGTCCTTGACACCAAGAGGGTCTACTCACATCCTTGACAATGACAAAGGATCTGAGGCTTCAGAAGGCAGTAACATGGGGAGTTTTCTGGACAGAAAATGCTCTCTCAGTCTCTAGGCAAGTGACATCTACAAGGTATACTCATGATATGTTCCAGGAGGCTCAGGAACCTCCCTGCGGAACTCTTAGCTGAGGCTCCCAGGACAGGGGTGAGAGGAGGCAAAGCTCTGGAACATTCTCCTAAGCCCAGCTGCTCTCTACTATAGGGGAAGAAGGGATGTGAGGTGTACCTGGCCCTCTCCCTTAGTTTCCTACCTGGGAAAGAGTAGAATTCCATTCCAAATTCCTGCCCATTTATGTTAGAGCCCTGCTCCATGGTCCTGAGCCCAAGGCTGGGAGAGTACACATGCTTGCATGGATACACATGTACACCCAGCAGATAACTGAAGCGGGGGACTGGAGAAGCATCCAGGTGACTGTGGGTCTGCAAGGATGTGCTGGAAGCAGAGGGGCGGGCCAAAGAGAGCCATCTGCCGGAGTGGATAAAGATGCAGGGCTTCCTTGGCAGCCATGGCCCCGCCTGCTCAGCCAGCTGCCGGAAGACAGACACAAGGTTGCAGAAGGAAAACACAACACAAATGACATACCACCACAGAGCTGGGCTTGGCTCTTCTCCTCATAAAAGGAACTGAAGGATTCTTGCTTGGCCTGGGAACATACCAAGACTCCATTCCATGACAGGACTCAACTTTAATCCCATGGACAGCCAGGGTCGCACAGATTTAGTTCAAGTCAGGCTGATCCTAGATCCAGTATTCTGGGCCTACCATTCGTATCACCTGGCCACCAAGTTGCTCCTCACTGGGCTCCTCTGTCTTGTATAGGCCCCTGAGATGCCCTAGAATCTCATCACCATTGACACTTATTATCCTGGAGTAGCTCTTAAAACCAGCTCACCTACCTCATGAGAATGTGGTTTTTCAGAGCAACTACCATTTCCTCTGAAAATATCAGAAAAGGGGAAGAAAGAATCGGAAGGCTGTGCCTTTAGAGACCATCAAGAGCTACTCTCAAAACGAACTAGAGGCTGATTTATACCCTCTCTTAGCTGGAGGCTGTGGATCTCCTTTGCCTTTTATGACCTGGACATTAATATCAAATGGTGAGCCCACCCTTGAAACCAGAAGATACTCTAGGCCTACCTGAAGGTGCTGAATTACAAATCTGACCTGCGCCTGGAGCCTCTCAGGAAGAAATGGAATGAAAAGTAAGTTTATCACTTTTTGAGGAAACAACTCCTCAATACTGAAAGGGTGGTGGCATCTGCAAGGGCTTTCTGCCTCAAGAATAACCCTTAATTTAGGGGCTGGAAGGATAATTGTGATGAACTTAATTTGTCACAATTCCCAGAAAGGCCATTGTTTCTTCCCCCTCAACTGACCTCCGGAGTTTGCCTTTTGTAAGGATGAGCTGGGTGGGAGTGCATCTTCCCTTGGTGTTCATACCTACAGGGAGGTCTCTGGCTTTTCTTCCTCCAGATACACAGGCAAAGCCTAGATTGATTCGATTGCCTTAAAATATCCTAAAACTATGATGATTTCAGGTAAATTGAATCATAACAGATAAAGAAAACTTACTTTGACCTTCTCCCTTTGATCCGTACTAGAGTTCCATAACCTTGCTCTTTCCTCCAGTTCTCAAAAAGAGGCATCGGAATAATTTGTGGGGGTTATCAGCTCCCTGCTCCATCAAGGCCTGAATTCACTGCCATGCCCCAGCAAGGGAGTTCACAAAAAGCCAGGTGTCACATTTTCTATCCACCTGAAGGAGGGATGTAGGAATGAATAGTGCTGCGATTCTGACAATCTGGATATTTCTAAAGTCCTTTTCACCTTCTTAGACTAGTAAGGCTCTTCTGGGGCTAAGACGGCAGGCAGGACAGAGATGCTCTCCTAGACTCTGAAGATAGTGGTACCAACCACGTACATAGACAGGATTCTGGCACACAAGGTTGACAGAACACAGAACAGGGTTGGGTGGCTGAGAGGTGGCCTGACGGGAGCCCATGGATGGACAACCACATACTTGGGACTGGCGTTGGGAAGCTGACAGGGGAGAAAAAAAGGGGATGCATGTGTTCCTAAGTGGCGTGGCTTGGACATCATGGAATTTGTGCAATGTGAGCTACTTTAACCTACACGGGCCTCGGATGGGAGATGGAAAGTATGGATGGTGGGCAGGCACTCTAGAGTCATGAGCTCTGTCTCTTGCCTCTTCTTTTCCAGCCCCATGGCCCTCCCTGCTCTTTCTTCCCCCTCCCAGAAACTCAGCTGAGTCCTTCCTGCTTCAGACACCCTCATCACCTACATGCTAGGGATCCCAGGGAACCCAGACCCATGAATCCAAGAGCTGCAGGGAAACATGATGCCATTCTAACTGGGGGAGGAGGAGGAGGAGTAGAGGAGGAAGGAGCTGGGGTGGGTACTTTTTGGGGCAAGTAAGGGTGAGGGTGAGGAAGGATGTGTCAAAGAGGGACCAATCCTGGGGATGTCGCCAGATGCCAGATGGTGCCCTTGGAACTGATGAGGTTTTCTGTCTAATGCAGGGGCTGCCCCACCCTTTGCCTCGTCTCTAAACTGCTCAGGGAGAGGAGGTTGGTCAGGAGGAAGGAGCTGGGGTGGGTACTTTTTGGGGCAAGTAAGGGTGAGGGTGAGGAAGGATGTGTCAAAGAGGGACCAATCCTGGGGATGTCGCCAGATGCCAGATGGTGCCCTTGGAACTGATGAGGTTTTCTGTCTAATGCAGGGGCTGCCCCACCCTTTGCCTCGTCTCTAAACTGCTCAGGGAGAGGAGGTTGGTCGGGGAGCGGGCTGGATTTTGCAGTGAAGGATTCTTTGGTGTCCTAAAGGAGTTATGGCGTCACTGCCGGCCCAGAACTTCGTGCTGAGCAACTGCGGACAAAGTATTTGCTCATATACCCTTCCCATTGGGCAAAGCATGCAGAGGGAGGCAATGGGGACCCGGACCCGGACCTTGGGGGATGGCTGGGCTGGTGATAATCCTCACTGTTTTTCATTGGAGGGGAGCAGATAGAGAAAGAAAAGAAGAAAAGAGAAAATAAATAAAACCCAAGGAATGATATTCTCATTTCACACCAGCAGCAAGCAGCAGGCAAGAGTGGAAAATGCTGAGAGGCAAGCCTGCCTTGCCCAGAGATACCTTCTTCTTGGCCAGCAGCAGGTCCTGGTAAGCATTGGACCGGAGGAAGCGGGCATAGCTGTCACTTTTCATCAACTTGTAAATGTGCTCCTGGGGAAGGAGTGAGACACAAAAAAGAAGTGTCAACCAAAGCCACGGGAAGCACAATTACCCACTTTTGGGGGGAAACAAACCAAGTACATTGTCAGTAGAAATCTAGAATATGCCCCACCTCTCTCCCAAATTATATTTTCTCTCTTACAGTAAAGGATCCTTGAAGATCATGTCCCATAGGATCTTTAATTGGATGTGGGTGTCAAATTTGGGTGGAAAATGATTAAAACCATAGGCACAGCAATAAAAAGAAACAAATTATTCACATGCTCAATAACTTGCAAGAATCTCAAGGGAATTATGAGAGGAAAAAGCCAGTCCCCAGGTTACACACTATTTATACAGCACTCTTGACAAATTATAGAAACAGAGAGCAGATTAGTGGTTACCAGAGGTTAAAAATGGGGGACTCGGGAGATGAAGAAGGGGTGGTTATAAAAGGTAATAGGAAGGTTTTTGTGGTGATCATTGGTTTTACATCTTGACACATCTTGCACATATCATGAAGTTGAACTAAACACATACACACATAAATGAATACAAGTAAATCTTGGAAGTCTAATATCATTAGATTTTAGTCATGTAAATACCATGGCTGTGATATTGTCCTATAGTTTACAAGATGTTGCCATTGGGGGGGATACATCCCTGTATTATTTCTTATAACTGTTGGTGAGTCTATAAGTACCTATAAATAAAAACTGGAATTTGAAAAATCACTCCACAGGCAACAGTGCAATTGTAGCATATTAACTTGTGTTTATTAGGGCCACTGTCTTGTCCTGCAAGGTTAGCAACTAGGTCATCTGGCTTGTGGGGAAATATACCAGGCTTGAGGGTAATGATCAGGAAAAGCAGGTTGGTGGCATGGTGCTGACTCTTCTCCTGGGTTCCCAGATGCATCAGTATTCTGGCCCTGGCAGTGAATTTTACCCCTGACTTCTACCTAGATCCTGCAGGTGCATGGTCTCTTCCTAACAGATCTATCTTCATCAAGGGAAGAAAAATCTTGGTCCATTGAAATGGAGAACTTGTCAGTGGAAAAGGATTATTTATCCATTGAAGGACAAGCCACACAGGAAACTAACTGCCCTAAGAGAGGATCTTTTTGTCAGTCAGTGGCCGGCCTTGTAAAGCAATCATCTTCTCCCATGGTTCCCACTGTTCATTCCATGAAGCTGGGCAGAGGTACCAGCGCCCATGGGGAACAGAGAGCTGGTCAGTGAGCAGAGTGCCTAGTGAGAGGCAGAACTGCTTTTTGGGGACCTCCTCCTTCGCTGTTCTTCCCAGAGAAGAGCATGGAAGAAGGGAGAGACCTCTCATCAGACTTGGGGTACATTTTGGAATGCTTGGTCAGAAGATGCTGGAGCAGTGAATGGCCAGGTCTTGCCAAACCTCTCTCCATATCCAGTACAGAAGAAAGTGAAAGCCAACAGCCAAGATATGAAATCAATCTAGGTGTTTACCGACGGATGAATAAAGAAATAGACAGTATATACATATTTACAATACATATGTATACAGCCTTTAAAACAAAGAAAATCTTGTCATTAACCAAAAACAGGGATGAACCTCAGTATAATATGCTAAGTGAAATAAGCCAGCCACAGAAAGACAAGCACCATATGATTTCACTTACATGTGGAATCCAAAACAATAAAACCCATGGAAACAAAGAGTAGAATGGTGGTTGCCAGAGGCTAGTAAAGGAGGGAGGATTGAAGAGCTACCGGCTAAAGGACTGAACGTATCAGTTAGAAGGGGGAATAAATTCAAGAGACCTACTGTACATCATGGTGACTATACTTCATTAAAATATATCCTATACTTGAAAACTTCTAAGAGAGTAGGTTTTAAGTGTCCTTAAAAAAAGCATGTGAGGTAATACATATGTTAAATTGCTTGACTTGGCCATTCTACAATGTATCAATACATCATGCTCATACCAGATATTTTGCTTATCAATTAAAATCAAAGAAAGTGAAAGTAGAAAGCATGTCATATCTTGGTCACATGTATGGTCCTCTGCATCCCAATTTGAGTTGGACCCCAACTAAAACTAGGCCCCTGTTTGGGACTAGCTTGCCCCTCCCATATTTGTGAAAATGGAGCAGTAATTCCACAGTGGGAATGGACACACTGCAAAGACTCAAGTGAAACTGAATCTTGCTTCTGAAAGTATTTTGATGGTCTAATTTAACAAACTTGGTGTGGAATGTTTTTATGAAAACTTCACACAGAAATACAGTCTGCTGTAGTTCAAGTTCTCTTAGGGCAGGAACAGTATTTTCTTATCTTTTTAAAATTAATAATGCCCAGCACAGAGTCAAATATTTAGTTGGATTTACATGGTGCTGTGTTTGGATATAGTGTGAGTGTGTGTCCCAAAGGTTTGGATGCTGGAAGATTGGTCCTCATGTAGTGATGTTAAAAATGGTGGAATCTTTAAAGCCTGGGTACTACTGGGAGAAAGGTGATTGGGAGATAGCACCCTTGGAAAGGATTAATAGAATTCTCAGAGGACTCATTTAGTTTCTGAGAAAGTGAGTTACTATACAAAGAGTAAACCTGGCCCCTGACTCCTGTTCACTTCCTAATTCACCACATGATCCCTCCCTCTTGTGTGTAATCCCACCATGATGCCATCTACTATCTTGTGACACAACCAAGAAGCCCTCACCAGAGTTCCAACAGATGGTGCTGCCTGACCTTGGACTTTCAAGTTGTGTGATGGTTAATTTTGATTGTTAACTTAATTTGCTTGAGAGACATCTAGAGATCACAAAGCACACTTATTGGGTGGATAATGGGGCATGATTTGGGGGACCATATCTGGTGCCCGGCTCCTTCCTCTTTAGCTCTTCCCTTGCTCTCTTCTGGATGCCACATCCAAGGCATCTTTGCTTTGCCATTCCCTTCTGCCATAATGTTTCTGCCTTGGAGCCGGAAGACTGTCGACTAAACTCTCTGAAACCATGAGCCAAAATAAACCTTTCTTTTACATTGCAGGGCTCAGGTATTTTATACCAGCAATAGAAAACTGACAAATACAGGCTCCAAAATGACAATCTAAATAAAATTCTTTGCTTTATAAAGTAATCAACTGCATATACCTCATTAAAGTAATAAAAACACACTAGCACATTTTTTTTTTGCTGTTCACTGAGATGCTTGTTTAATGTAATGTTCAGTAAATTTGCAGACTCTGTGCTTACTTTGGTTTATGATTGGATCAATTATCTGCTCTTTGTATGGAAGGAGAGTGAGGATTGTACTCCATTCAAAGAACTGTAAGTATCTTGGTTCATCCATCCCTGACAGCCTCAGAGCCCAGACTAAGGGGCATACTTGATCTTTGCTTTCCTGTATCATCTCTTTAAATTGTTCTAACATTTAAATTTTAGGTACAAATGTTAACCCAGAGCAAAATGACTGACTGTCTCCTTCTTGTGTCAGGCATTGCTTCTGTCTGGGTGACAGAGCCAGGTGGCTCCTTAGTCATCTGGAAAGCCGATCCTAATGCTTAGACTCTCGCCAAATCCCTCTCTTAAACAACAGGTCTCTGCTTCTTGTTCTGACTACTCAGAACAATTGAAATCCTCAGTATATATCTCATAATATCCCCTGCTGTCTCAAGGGAAGTTAGGAAACCTCTTCTAGCCTTGGCAACAAAATTTTCCCCCAATCCAGCTAATTTCTGTAGATTCATTGCAGGCAGGAAAGATCTATTAAAAGAAAGACCTTGTCCTTTGAAATCGAGCATGATAAAGCAGATGCATAAACATTTAATCACAACAATATTCAGCAAATATTTATTGAGCATTTACTAGGCACCAGGCACTGTGTCAGGCACTGAGATTATAGACTGAACAAGACAGACCAGTCCTTGCTGTCACACAGTTTAGATTCTACGGACTTGTGCCAAGTCTTTTGCACCAGTTGAGCTAAGGGGTACAAAGAATTACAGGTACAGGCACTATAACTTGGGATGACCTACACTGACAAGAGTAGAAATCTCCTCTTTGAGACAGAAAGCTCTGAGAAGACACAGAAAAACATGTCTCCCAATTTGGTGGGAACCAGCGGAGGGAGGTCGGGTATCACAGCTGCACAGGCTGACCAAGCAGACCAGAAAGGACAATCTGGGGGCAAGGAGGAAAGAACAGCACACAGAAGTCCACTCTCTAGGCAGGTTAGTGTGTGTCCAAGTTGCGATTTGGGTACCACTGTCACTGTCACCTTCCAAGCCATATGGCCAACTCCAAAGCCAGATACCAAGGTAAAAATGGTGTGGGGGGAAAGAAGAGGGTGAGAGCACAAACTATGGGAGAGCGAATCTTTCCCTGCCTCCCATCCTAGCCCTTCACCATCAGATGACAGTCTCAGATCACCCCAGCAACAACAACCCAAGCAGTAAGAGCAGACCCAAGACCCAAGTCGGACAAAGCAGAGGCTGAGATGCTCTGTGGATTCCTGTGCCCGCTACAGTGCCATGACTTCAGCGCCCCTCTGCCTGGGCCTCACTTTCCCATGATTGTGCCTTGTCCTGCTCCTCTTTCCCCAGTTAAAGAAATGCAGCCTTTGATGTACCCCGTTATGGAACTGTGTTCCTTCCTCCTTGCCAGCTTTGTCTAGGAAACACAAAGACAGTAAACAGGGGGTGGGTGAACAGAGCTGAGATTTTTCTGGGAATGAGAATTAAGATCAGACCCAGGGTCTTTGGCCATTTCCCAAATGCAATGAGTTTATCACTGCCAGGGACAGAAAGTGTACAAAGCTCTTGGCAATGACCTCTACTGATTTATGAGAGGTTGTGGTTTGTTTCCCTTGTTCTGCAGACAACCAGTCTTAAGGGAAATGTATATTCAGAATCTGCAAAGTGCAAAGGAGCCACTGGCCAAACCGGCTAAGCTCCCACGGAGAGAGAATTCCTAGTGGGATAGAAGGAAAGAAGTTTTCTCTTTTATTCTTTTGCTTTGTTTTGTCTTGTCCTACGT